TCCCCAAACGAGATCTTTCCAGAGCTATAACTGATTAGGTTTCACTGGACAGTCATATCGGAGTGATGAATTAAGTCAAACAGACGTTTACCAAGCTTATACTACTACGTAACACAGGGTCATAAGTTGCTAGGTTTGTGTCCTAGAAGCACAGGACGAGATCATCTTACCCTTTTGCTGCTGAGCATGTGCAATTGTTGGTCACGATAAAAGTAGTGTGTGAGGTTTCTGTGCCGTACGTTCTCAACGGAATTTAAACCCATGGGAGTTTAGACGGATGTATTCGGTCGACGGCATCCTATCATAGGGTGGAGGAAATCACATTGGTCCACTCTAGGACAAATAACCTTGAAAGTGATTCCTAGCATACCTTCCAAGGTTTAACCTTACTGTCCAGTCTGAATGGTCAGAATGCTGTGGAATTTTGCTGATGATGGGCTTGATTTTACGTGAATTTTCATAGTTCCCGTCTTTTATTCAAAACATACCGATCCATCAGTGACGAAATTGACTTGCTTTTAGGAGTTTTCTATGTAAGCAACCTCAATATCCACTGAAGTTTTCAGCAGTTGAACAAAATATCATTTTTGGTTCAACGACTTCATCCAAGAAAATTGGTAGCAAATATTGCATTTTGTGCGTAGGAGAGCATAATAAAGAGCCTGGTGTCGCCTATGAGCCTCACTTTCTATACAATAAGTTTATCGATGCACTTTAAAAGTAAAAAAATATCCCTCTTTTCTGTCTAACTTTACCCGTGTCACGGAATCACGGTGAACTATCCTAAAGCAACACGAATGGATGGAAGTTCGTTAGCTCCAGATTCACCTATGAGTGTTCTTCGTGGGATAACTAGAGTATACCCGTGCTTTATGTAGCTTGGAACACACCTACCCTGTTGGGATTTAAATAACTGACATGACGAACGATGTTCAAGGCAACTTGCTAACTTCCTCAAATACTGAATATCTCTTGGTCGAGGATGAGTGTTCTTTCCGGAACGCACAGCCGTTTTTGGAGCCGTTTCCACTTCAGATACAGGAACTTCAGTAGAACACGCAACGTTGCAGCCAAAATGTCCGAAAATGAAGAATTTTCCTCTGTTTGAGGTACTTTATTTTTACCACCTCACCAAATCTCTTGTACGTTAGCCAACGAGTCCATCATTTAGGTTTTAGTAAGAATACGCGGACTGAACATTGTCCCTTTAGTTGAGTAAAAATTACATGGTCTGTGAGTTTGTGACATGCTTCTGGTTGGGTTGCTATGTCAATTTGCTGCCCTCGGGTGTGTGCTTTGATTGAACTCTACCGTGACAACCCGCATCTCTCATCCAGGACAAAGCGATTTTTTCAATTCTATTTTGGACCACCATTTACAAATCTTAACTAGCCAAGTTAAATTCAAAGTTTCCACAGTTCCAGGTAGTTGTATCCCTGACGAGGATCAACATTTTCATTCTTTAGTTATTCCGCAACTTTCTATGTGGTTCCAAGGTGAGGAGTGTAAGTACTACCGTAGCCTTACCACTGTGTCAAGCCTTAATTTCCCAAATGGAAAAGAACTCTAGATTCTCATAAAGTTAAACTCAACGTAACACGCTAGCTTTTCAGAAGTTAAGGGGTAGGTACTGGGCGGTACCGGTGGCGATAAATCAGCGCTTCTTTGGGATGCTAGTATCCCCAACGTTGTGACTAATCAACGCTGAAGCTGATGTCGCTTATATGATAAATCTTATCGAATTATATAACAAATGGCGTTAACGAAGGTCGAACTCGCCACTCGACCGTTACGCTTCTCATGATGTTCGCTTCAAATTTGTCAAATTTCAGTTCCAAAGTCTCCAAGTACTGTGAACCTGAAAGTTAGGTCTTCCCTGGACAGTTTTAAGTGCAATTCAAACAGACACCACGAATCAGCTAGCTGATGTCCACACAGATAAAAACCATGTTGCTCAAGGCACCTAAAACATTGCTATCCTATAGAGGGGGACTTGGACCATGGTGATTCGGAATTTTGGCACCCTGAAGTAAAAGAACAACAGATATATATGCTGGATTCCGAAACCATTTAGTTTTCCCACAACAAGCTTACGAGTTCAAAATGTTGCAAACAACCGACAGATAAATTGAATGGCGAAAAATCGGTATAACATCTTTTGGAGTGCAACATAACGAAGCGACATATGCTACGAGAAATGATAAATCTTAGCTAGTGTTTGACAAAAGGAAAACCACTGTTGCTTCACCTATCTGATTCCTACGGCTATACGGATCATTGAATGGCATCACTCATTTGGGTGACCCAGACCCTTCTTTAACGGAACTTTGAATCTAGCAATCATCCCCCAGCTAGGTGCATCGCACACTCATTTTATTCATAACGAAGTGACATAGATTTTTTCGTATACAAAAATAATACCTTAGGCTTCAACCATGGCCTATATTTTAGGAGCCCAATCCCGGGCCAGTTCACCTGATTAACAGTGGAGTAACAAACAAAACCACACCAGGTTCGCACAGTTTTTTTTTGAAATCGCACGGTCAGAATTTTACTTAATGACCTTGCTACTCAGCACTCGTATTATCAGGCAGCATATGGTTGGCGGTGCAATGAAAAACATAGGCGAGACACAAATCGAGTGAGTGGGACAATAGGCCATTAGGAGAGGATGGGGCCGAAAGTGGATTGTCATTGTTTTGAGCGCAACCATCCCACCCTCCGATTTTGCTGTTCGTTTGACTGTCGAATCGCACAGAGTGAGCAAACGGAAGGCTCAGGGCAATATACTGACTCCATCTGTTGAGGATGAGGTTTGGCATATACGAAGTGGCGGTTGCGAAATCCGGTTGACTAATTAACCTGTTGTGAATCCCACTAATCAAGTTGCCATGGCTTAATTGAATGGCGAGGGTCGAGAGAGACGCGACTGAATGAGGCTGTTTTCCCCATTTGGCGCATGGCCTCAGGGAATCTGGTTTTGATGGATCACAACCATTCTCGGTTTAAATGACAGTAGAAATATGCATGCCTCGGATCATATGGCCTACCCCGGTGGGATGATCTCTCCCGTTATGCACCATACAATGGAGCTAAAATGCTGAATTCTTCTACTGCCGCTGGCCCGGGGACAACCATTTGTATCTAGTCAATAAATTACCCGTCCTCTTAGGAATATGACATCAGCCTGGTGCTGTGTGTTGTGAACAAACACAGTGGAGCGAAAATCTATCGGATGGGGTTCAAAACCCCATATCGGATACTGGCCAACGCATAATTTAGATGCATGAGGCAATCACCGGCACTTGGTTCTGTCCTTTTCAGCAAAAACATAGGAGTTAAATAGGCTGAATGAACATTATTCACCAACTGTTTCTCAAGTGGCCCCAAATAATACAACGTAGATCAGTTGTGAAATCCTTCACCTGGTAGTTCGAATCCTCAATCTAAAGAGACTAAGCAAGTAATTTTACAACACTACCAATATTCTTCCTAATGGTCACGAATTCATGGTCTGTTTAATCTTTGTGTGATCTAGAACAAAAGAGTCTATTCCGAAGAAGAGCTGCCCGTCCCCAACGTAAAATCCACGTAAATAGAGGCAGGAAGGTTCAGAAACTGGTACCCCCTCTTAAAGAGGGTGAAAGATTATAACCTTCGGATATCAGTGTAACCATCAACTCATCCAGCGGATATGTTCTTGTGACCCGGAGAAACAGTCTGGTTGGTTGCCCTGTGGTAAGTTTATTGATTTCTCCGTCTCCGAACTCCAGATAGCTCAGTGATAAGGTCATCAAGCTGCTATCGGTATGTACTTGTGTCGCGACTGCTCCTAGTTCGGCTGGGGTAGCACAACAGTATCTTAGCCTTTGTGTTTGCTCAGGGTTGTGTTGCAGAATTTTAACAGTGCCATAGCTGAATGGCAAATCAGGTTAATTCCGTTGTGGGGAAACGCCACGAAAATAGTTGTCTGGGGTAACCATTCTTAGGGGGATTTCCATAACAAGTCTCGAGTGACGAGGATCAGTATTTCGTCGGAGGTTTCTTTGCATGTTAGACTACTATGGAAGTCATCCGCTTAGTCACCAATAACCTAAGGGTTGCTATGGCTTATAAGTCTCATACCGATGTCACGTTCTTTCCCATGAGAAGTGATGATAACCCCAAGAACTTCCTTGAGTGACGGATGGCTGTGTGGACTAGTCCCGTGTAAGCATCTTCCTGTAGTACGTTGCGGAGCACATACCCATACGAAAAGTCATGTGTTCGACTCCCTCAGGAAATAGGTGAGATGTGAACTGCTGAGTTTTCCCAGCAAGAATGAAGTGACTCCTGGCCCTAGCAATGTACGCTGACTTGGCTTTACAAAACAGAACTGGCTATAAAACGTTCAATTCCCTTTCCACACGCAACAGACTGAAGGTTACACAAACGTTAGTTCTCAGTGCAGCCGTATGGGTACAAGCAAAGGACCTCTGTTAACCAGCTGTTTTTACAGTATTGTTGTTGTTACATTATATAGTTATTGGGCGTAGTGACCTTGAAATAATTCTTTGTGGCTAACGACCGCGCCTGCAACACACTGGTGAAAAGACTTAATATGTCTCTGCTGGATGCGGAAAGCACGGATTGTTTTGAGATCCTGTAAATGAAGCTATTTCATTTCGAAAAGCTCAGGGACGCCGTACAGTTGTTTCATATTTATTGGGAATCATCTATACTACGTGTCCCATGAATCACCAGGAAGATTCAAACACACTACCTCCAAGCAAGTAACCGAATATTAAGCTGTTCGGTTACCAGCACCCGATAAACAGTTTGACTAATTCGCACTAAGGCAATGTACGATCCTGTGCTAACGCCGTGATTTCAAAGCAAGGAATTGGTTAGTTAGCCTAAACGCACGATCTAGTTGTCCTGTCTGACAGGTAACGTGCAGTCTAATTTACCAACGGGCAGTCAGTAATAACTGCGACGAAACCGAATTCTACGAACCTTACCTGCGTTTCTCCAGTGGTCGCAATTGGGCAGTGAACAGTATATTGAATTGGACGTGGGCAGACAGTATAGATAGGTAGGCCGTGGTTCTATAGGAAATTAACAGTAAATCGTGAGGCGAATTAAAGAAGGCCTTGCGGCAAGATTGAACCTTGGGCAGTTAGTAACACGGGATGGCACACGAAGGACGGTGCGCTATCTGACAAATTAAAAGGGAAAAATGTTGCTCAGTTCAAAGTGGGGCAAATTTTCAACAACAAGCCCAGAAATGAATGTGAAGAAAACGTCTATAGGAAAATGGTATAGGTAGAGTCAACTTTGTATAAAATAGAATAGTTCAGTCTTGAAACAGTCATCGGAACGGTGATGAATTGGCCTGAGGAATAGAGAAACAAATAATTACGTCACGTAATTACCGGGCAAGATGTAGCGTCCTTCTTTCAAGCACATAATTCACACAACACGGTCGCGTTTTAACTGGCTCCTCGAGTGGCGCGAAAGGGACCTGTTACGTGACTGTTTTATATTTTCTCCAAAATTTTCACTAACCTTTAAAAACGGTGGTGTTTTCTTGCATTGCCACATGGTCTTCACTAAGAGAACAACTGGTATCTGCATCAGGATACTTATCAGCTTAATCAAACTTACGTGCTCTAGACTCTATCAAGCCACGCCCATCCTCATGGAGTTCATAGTACGACGAACCCTCAAGTTATCTGGACAGCTGACCAAAAAGAGACTCTTGCTGAACCAGTTTTATCGCTCTTCTGGATGGATGGGACCAAATTTCATTCAGTCTGATATTGTTAACATCGCCGTAGTTTCTTCGGGCACGGTTTATCCAGGAACTGATCGCAAAACCATATTTAACCTGACGGAACGGGAAAATTGCCGCCCGTCTTATTTGCCTCTCCAACATTTAGACCGACAGTCTCAAACCAGCCTTTTGGGCTGGTGAAACTGAATCCTTAATGAGGTACACATGTGGCTGAGTGTCTGAAAGTTTGCAAGGGTGCTTGTGTAGGCTGGAGAAAAATCGTTATGACTCACACGGCACTGATCCAGCACCAACGTCTGTGGAGACGTCTGTGTTTTGTACGCCCCACTGATTTCGACCATCCTATTCTTCACAGAACATCCGAAGAAAATGCACACGTTGGTGGGATCGAAAAAGTCTAGAGGAGTGAGTGGAGGTGGGGAGGCCGTTGCATGGATCTGGTTCAAACCCAGCTGTCCATGAGCGGTGGTGCACTACATGGACTACCCCCTACAGGGCATGCTGCACGGGCTTTTGCGTTTGTAAGATAAACACTCGACGTTAATATACATTGTTTAGGGTGCACGTGCGCGTGGCCAGTACCGGCTTGGGCATGTGTATGTGGATGCTTTATTCATAGATTGGTTGAGAGACAGAGAACCGGTACTTCAACCAGACTGTTTCTACTGGGTCAGTCGGTTTGTGTTGTGCATTCGAGCAAGGTAGTGCAACCTTTTCCAAACAGGGAAAACATTGAATGCCTTCGTTAAGATATTCTGCGTAAGAACTATCCATATTAAGTAACTGTATATAAAGCTTGTTCACGATCACCGGAACTCATAACTTTTGACGGGAGTTTATCAACTGAGCCAGGAATATATGTTAGACGGTGAATATCACCAGCGTGCTGTCCATTTCACACTGCTGTATGGACATAGTCCACTCCTTGTTCATTCTTTTCACTCTAGCTGAACACTTAACAAAATTGTGGGAGTTCCTGAGCCAGCAATATCTGTTAGACGGTGGATATCACCAACGTACTGTCCATTTTACACTGCTGTATGGACATAGTCCGATATGTGTCCGCATTCTTCGATCGTTTATTCACCTAGCTCTTGCACTCCTTGTTCATTCTTGTCACTCTAGCTGAACACTTAACAAAATTGTTAGCCTCGCTCTCAACTACCAATTTGGGCGATAAAGACACAGCTTAGCTTGCCTCTCAACATTACTACTTGCTGTTAGGTATATGGTCCGTTCAGTTTTGAAAGATCGCGTCAGAACTAGAGGCAATTGCTTGGATTTTGCCTCTGTTCTGTACACTGAAGTCGAATGTGCCGACAATGAATCGGTGTTCGTTTTCAATGGCTCCTGCTATGGCTGCTCCTGGGAAACTTATGGGTCATTTGTCAAAATATGAGTTTCTTATAAGTCAGTCCGGAAAGGACCAGCAACCCTTGTGTAGTGTCATCTGTATCTAAGACATTTTACTGACGCTACTGTAAACTAGACTTCAACACTAATCTGAGGGGTTCAGTCTGAGGGAAAGGTGCAGTATTTTAAGACCTGTGATTTATCTCTTAGTTAGAATCAGTCATCCGTGCTTGTGTCATGAGTACTGAAGTTTTCTTGATATTCTGTGATACTTATGCAACCACGCTTGATATCTGTGGATAATATTTAGTAATCACAGCACAAAAGTTGCTGAAGCTACAGATTGCCAGTTTGATTAACTTGGGGTCGCAGTCCACGAGATACCACCAATCTTTTGTTCCACATGAACATCAGAGTGCTCGCAAATAACGGAATACACTCATTTACAAATGGCTGTGGTGCTAACGGGAGATTCAGCCGAGTCCCAGCTGAGTCTCTCGTTCTTCAGCTGAATATGCTGCATAAAACTCACCTCATGTTTCAGCTGGTATAACATCTGATGTCGTTTTTTGATGGTAAGCCAGACCATCATTCAGTGAGTTGAAAAAGGGACTAACAGAAATAGATGTGGAACTTGAAGTAAAATCGTGTCGAGGATACCACATTGTTGTAAAAAAAACCTTAATTGAATCCGACTTCCCCCCTCCCTCATTCTCCGATTGGTTGTTAGAGTCTCTTATTTGGTTTTACCACATGAACGCTCAAATGCTAAGCTGGCAGTCACGTGTCTGTTTTCTGGATATCTATCATAATTTTGTAATGGGTGTTACTGAGGGGAAGTATTTTCTAATCACAGAATATGCTTTTCTTCGCTACTTTTAAACTCAGGAAAACCATAGATGAAAAAAGTCATTTGGTCGCAACGTATCCTGATTGATTATACCGATGGCATCTATACCACCTGGTGTGCGGTTCGACCCGACTTATCATCATAATCGAACGGCTGTTTCTTCCAGTCATCAGGGCAGATTTTTTGCTGAGATGTCGAGGTTGACATTTGCCAGCTGTATCCACAACAAACAAGCCTTTACAGACAGTTACCGCCACGATTTTCTGAACTCCCCCAATGTCGGGTAATCGAACTTGACCAGCAGTTGACATTTAGGCAGGTGCGTACCTTTCGGCCAACTCAGTCAAGCCCATAATGTAAGGGTTTGAAATAGTCCGTCCATCCTTCGCATGAACATCCACAATCCGAAATTCTGATTGATGGACGGATGAGCCGTACCACACTTAACTTCCCTCAAGCCGGATTCGGACGGTGTCGCTCAGGTCTGTCAAAGACCGACTGCCACAAAACTACTCTTTAGAAAATGGACTAGGAACCTGCTCTTGTACAAATTCATTTCAAGTTATTCTATAATGCCCCAAACAAAGGGGGTTTTCTCTCCCAAATGTTCTCAAATCTCTAGAGAAGAACGGTGTCCTAATAAAATAGATGAGTTTAAAAAAAACTCACCCGAAGCAATACTAACGTCCTAAGTTATCCAATCAGTGCCAGTTAAGCAGTGTCCAAATTAATGTTTAGGTCAATAAGTCGTCATTAATGTTGTATGGATAGAGGAATTTCATCCAAATGCGCTAGACAGTGCGAATAGCTAGAAAGATTAGACCGAAAAGTTTCCCGACTACAACTTCTCTAAATTGTGTGCGCCTGACACGATATTGAAGTTGGCTGTTTTTGGAATCATGAATATGGTCTTGCGGAAGCATTTGTCTTTTGACACAATTATTCAAGTGCATCAGCGAAAAATCAGTAGGAATTTTCCAGGCCTCGAAATCTATGGTTGACTACTGCAGTGCTCACTAGTAGGTAGCAATTCACCTCGCGATATAAAATTACCATTAAATTGCTTAGTATTGATTATTTAGGCGTTTTAAAACTAAAAAAGACCACATTATCCAACAATTCACCAGACCTTTGCGTAGAACCGTAAACTCCTCCGTTCCCCGGATTCCATCAAGCCGATATTCAAGCAAAGGCTGTATTACCATCGAAGAAAATATGTTGGGTTTTCCACGTTATTCAGCACAATTTGCGCAAGCTTTATTCACATTCCCTATGGCTGAGAATAAGCGACATATCTGAAGATTTAGTTATCTAGTAGTATGTGTGCGGATTATGAAGAGAGAAAAGTGAGGATTCTACCAATCTTCTAGGTGGCTTCACTTCGGGAGGGGTTCGGGAGGAAGATGAGCCTTGTAGGCACATATTTCTGAGGAGTGATTGATCTATGGGGGGGGTCTTCTGAGGTGGTAGTTCAAGCAGGCCGAGTCACTCGACATGACAAAGCAGAAACTCGTGATCAGTGCTTATCGCCACCCACTTCGACTGTCATTGTGTGATTAGTTCGCTTCCTCGGTAAACACCGGCCATTTATTGTGTCCTTACAAAATGCCCTGAAATGCAATTATGTACGAGCCTCAGTGAGTTGAAGTTGTTTGGCTTTTTGTTCTGAAAATATGTTTACTCAGTCTGAAACCGGGGCACACTTGTGGACGTCCGGGCACGCAAATACACTGTGTTTTGTTACTTTTGTGAGTTTCTGTCGTGCTGTATACCGAACTGGTCGCGGGAGTTAGCGTTCGTTCGGCAAACTCCAATGCTGATGGTACATCTGCGAAGGTGAGTGTTGGATAGCAGAGGTCACAAAAATGTTGCCTTTCCCACTGTTTGATGCAACGTGCAAAGTTCACGCATTTTCAGAGAGCAGAATAGTGTACCGGTCCATACGTTTGCAAGGGATACTAAATGTATTCATCTGGTAGACATCTGAGGTGGTGGCATTCAGTGAATGTGAAACGGGCGAGTATTAACGGTGAAACTAATTTCGTTCGTCTTGGTCTCCGTACCACACAAATCGTAAAAAAGACAGTAACATGGTCATTCCCCATGAT